TGTATTGGCTATACAGTCAATGCCAAAAGTTTATGCACTTTAGAAACGCATTTTTTAAAAAGAAATCAGACGTCGGAAGAACATTGCTAATAATAAACAACAAAAAAAATTTTCGTTTTTCCGAGATTTTTCCAAGGGGTACCCCTTCAATTTCTTCCACATTTTCGTTTTTGGCCAATAACTCCCAAACCGTTGGACATACGGAAAAATTGCATATGACCTTTCTTGTAGAGAACGACGAGATCTACAATTTTCATGTAAAAATTTTTCGCTAGGGTCAATAGTTACCGAGTAATTTGCAAAAAACTGTTTTTTCGTTTTTCGTCAATAACTCGTAAATTATTAATGCTAGCGACAAACTTTTATACAGAAATTGTAGATCTCGTCGTCCTTTACAAGAAAGGTCTGATACAATTTTCCCGTAGATTCAACGGTTTAGGAGTAATTAAGGAAAAATGAAATTTTTTGCCAAAAGTTCGCCGTTTCGACGCTGGGATGGTCGGATTTTGTCAACATCAATACAATATCAAATAATCATACGTAACTCGTTAAATATCGAAGTTAGAAGGAAAACAATTTTTATTTAAAGCATTTTTCGCAATTTTGGAAAAAAAATTTTTCGTCAGCGTCAATACTTAATTGGAGATTTCCTTCTATACTTTTTAGCACGTAGCTACTTATTATTAGCATTATTCTTCCAACGTCTGATTTCTTTTTAATTATAGGAAATGCGTTTTTCTAAGGTACATAAACTTTTGGGACTGACTGTATAGCCAATACATCCTTAAAAGCTGAAGCTTTATATCTTCATTTACTGTTATTTTATTACAAGCTAGCATTATTACATTTGGTCAAAAACGTTTTATATCCATCCCTGACAAAGGGGGCTGTGGAACTTCGATCGACTTTTGTCGGGACGAATTTCCGGAGGAGAAAATCGTTCGAGCCCGTGGACCAAGATTTCTCGAAGGCTCCACTTTTCATCTGCCTTCTACGCAGCTCTGCCAAGTGAAAGTACAGAATCAGAGAAGCCGATTAAAGGAAACGAAACGATTACACGGTCTATTAGTGCCACAATTCGCCTGGTGAGCGTACGTCTGACACCCAAAAAGTATGTCAAAGCTTGTCGAAAACAATTTACGTATACTCGGTTATATAAACATTTTTAAGGAATAAAGATACTACTATTGATTAAAAGTCGGAATTCGTGTCTTACTGATAGACTGTTTCGGAGATAAACTCAGACATTAAAAATACGTAGAGAATACGAACTTTCTGAGTTCTAATGATGAAGAACAGAAGAAGTACCATTAAAATTGAAGCAATCAATACATAACATCGTTCCTCCGTGGGTTATTTCCAAATAATAACGAGAACGCAAGTTGCTTCAAGACTCCAATCAATGCAAACTACCGATCAGCGATGGCGCTTTGCATAAGTTCACTGACATGTACGTTGATGTCAATAAACATTCCCCTCGTCGGTAGAAAACCTCAACTTTTTTCGTTCTCCGATCCAATCTCACCCTTTCTGCCGCGATTCCGTGCCGGAAACCACCCCACAAATACCTGGATTCGTACGGTGTCGCGGAATATTTATTTTCAAAAAGCTGACGTCACTCAAGAAACCGGAAACTGGTTTCACTCGTCTTTTATTGCGAATAGAATACGATAATCCGTACGCGTAGGAGTAATTTCTTACCAGTCCCGTCTTTACCGGTCAGTCTAGTCAACTGTAACGTTGGCCGTGATTCAAGTTTGAATATTTTGTCGACGGTTGTTTTCTTTTCCTGGAATCCCCACACCTCTCACGAGGAAATATCGCGCCTAGACATGGAACGCGACTCCCATACGAAAGCGTGATAAAAAGAGATATTACGATGATCTGCCAGTAGAGTCGACCGAGGCGAAGGATGAACCTCGCGTATAGATTGTGCCTGAGAAAGGTACCACTTTTTCTATTACGCGTTATCGTATCATAGTTGAAAATTATGGTAACAATATAATCGAGGTGCGACACTGATCTTGTGCAACGGTTACCGCGGAGAGGCTTGCGAACCGAGGGCGTTAACTGCATAACTATCTGTAACCATCTGTTACTGTCGAGCCTGGAGAAGAGAAAGTTCGTTGCAACCAGGTGACAACCCGATATTTTTATGTTGCAACATAATGTGTAATACTTTATACAGTATTCAGATTCACATATTCTTTCGGCGACTTTCTTCGCAGTATTTTGCCCGCTTAAGGAGTCGTTTTGCGATTTTTTCCGATTACCTCCAGACGAATCGTATAAGTACCTGCAACGGGGAGTTCGACCGATCGAATGACGAAATTAATTGAACGCATTTTGTGGCAAGTAAGGTCAACCCTGAACCTCGAAGCAACTAGAGAAGACAGAGTGACTCACGCGAATCAATATCCCTCCAACACATTTGCCGTTTACATTGGCGCAAGAGTAAACGCGGTATACTGCATCTGGCTCGTGGATAAATGTATTTACCTTTCACGATTTTATCTCTGCGGTATCTTTGAAGCGCCACATTTTTTTAAAGATGCCTCGGTCAGTAAACTTGGCGAAAAAGAGGCACTTCAAACAAAACGTTTGCAAGATGAAAATCGCAGCAAACGTGAACAACAAAAATAGACATTCTACTACCGGTGTGATACAACAAATTTATTATCACCAATAAATCATTATACGTATGCGCGTATCGAACGCGTGCATTATCGAATTGTAACCCGTGCAGTGTGAACGTTACAGAGGAAAATATCCATTGAGTTTTTGACACACGCACCGTTCATAACATGTGTCGCGACTATCCGGAGCGAGGACCCTGACAGTGTTTCAATCGATTAGGTGTACCCAAAGGGGGAACCTACGAGTAGGGGGGAACATGCAAAATATAAAGCCGTATAAATTTAAATGGCACCGGTCCAAACAACATGGCCCCGGTTGTAAAAAAAAAAAAAGAACAGGAACGTTGGACAAAAATACTAAATTTATGATCGGCCGGCTGAAACTGAGAAAAGCAAATCGATCGATAATTGGATGAGAAGAAAGAACTCCATTGTGATAATGAAACGGAACGTAGTATCGTTGTATACGATACCACCGCGAAAAGCATTCTTACTTCGTGCGAAAGTACATTATCCTAAAACAACACGAGCGTTCTGCCGTGTATATGTTGTTTCGTTTAACGTATCGAGAGGAAACGAGAAACGAGACGAGAGAAGAGGAAGGATAGAGCTCCAGAAAGCGGTTTCATTGTAGCTAGAGTTCGAGGACGTAAACAATGAAGAAATGACCGGGAGGGAACGATGAGCTGCAAGGATCCAAGCTTGGATATTCAGATACATATTTTTTCTACGGTTGAAACGTGCCGGCAGCTCTCTAAAGATACAAACGTGCAGCTGTCGTTTCGAGAAAAATATTTTTTTCCTTTTCCCCCTGCCATGATGAATCTGTTTCCTCTTCTCGTCGAGCCTATCTCCAGTTACTTAATCACGTTTTGTAACACACACGGATCGAAATTCAAACGTTTTGTTTAATGCAGACTAGAATAACATAGGCACAGCTCGGAAACTAGTTATCCTTTCGGCATTTTAAGATACAAGGCAATACTAATGGTTCGTTGTTATGTTACAAGGTTAAGCGAATTCGGAGACATGATTGGCTGAATAAGTATCGGGCATGGTTCGTGTGAGAGCTCGCTCGTACTAATATTCTGCTCACGATTCAAATTGTCCATTATTCTCAACGGCGTTTAATCGTTGATAGAATTTCTCTTTGTTCATTTAGAAAAATTGTATTCTAATAGTTAAGCGTAAGAATATGAAAAAACACGATTTTAAACACTAAACGATTCTAAATAGAAACTGATACAGCGTCGGTATTAATATACTTAAACTGTTGTATAAAAAAAAATTTTCTCTAGATATCATTCCTTGAATAAATGATTCATCCATAAATCTATCGAGATGACAATAAGCGAAATATGTGGTTTACAATTTCCTTACTGCACTAATGAAAGCGGAACGAAAAGATTT